CTTATATATCTATCATTCCTAGTTTCAAAATATTTAAAGAAAGAAAAAAATACAATACGAGCCATTATATGCATGTAAAATCTTGAAATCGTTTTAAATTTAATAGAATAATTATTCACTTACCAATCGCAGTACACACGCCCAAGATTCTTGTCAACGTTGACAGATAATTGGCGGTATTTCTAACGTATGTGGACATGCCGTCAGGTTCGGAAGATACGTTAAAATCCTTCATGTATGTCACCATGTGGTAAACAATAAATTTCTCAGTTTATAATACAAATAACACTCGCGAGTAAATGTGAAACCGGTTTTGGAAACGTTTACTGTGTGATAATAATAATACGAATATTAATTTCGACACATTGTACAACACATCCATACAGTAGCGAGGACCACGCGTAACTGAAAGCACAAGTCCTTTCAGCGAAAGGTTCTACTGTCCCCGCGCTGAACTTCGCGTATGCGCAGTTCGTGTTTCTATCAAAATATTTTTTTCGCGCGTTTTCGTACATTTCTTAAATTAAATGCATTGCAAAACTAACATTGAATATAATAAAAATTGAAGCTTTTACTAATATTTGTATGTTAACATCAAAATAATAAATATTTGATGGAACTAAAAGCTAAGAAGTAGTTTATATTAGAATAGAGTAGAATATATTAATTATTATATATTTACAATAAACACGTACAACACAGATATGTGCATTACAAAAATATATTCACCTGCGCACGTAAGCGTGTACATTAATCACATAACATATACACATTGAGTGAGGTAGAGATACAACATATTCGCTTTTGAAACAATAAAAGTATTTAAAATATATATTTTCACAATTAGAACACTAATTCATATTATTTTCAATACAGTGTTTAAGTATTATTCCTTTTGTTTATGGTGCAGAACACTTTTTAAAATTAGAGTATATTTTAATACTGTAGTACACTGAGATTCCTTATTATTATATAACAATAACAATATACTTATATAACATATAAAATTTTTTTCTAACACTTAGATTATACATATTATCTGAACTTTTAAATCACCATTTTTAGTTAAATGTTCTATAAAAAACTAAATAATAGAATTTTTATCGTACATGACTTTATCACAAACGTAATTAATTCGCTTTAAATAGAAATGGCAATAAATGTAAATAAGGAAATAAGATTTTTTCCTTCAGTTATATGGACGGCATTTTGCGATATCATTCTTGTAAATAAATGAAACACAATTTCAACTTACAAAGATAAAAATAATTTTATAAAATTAGTTTCTTCAACTAACATAATTAGTTGTGATTCATTGTAACTTTGTTTTTGATTGACTTCTCTTCTTCCTAATTTTACCTCCAACATTTTCTAAACTCGGAGTAAGCGCGCTTAACTTAGAAGATTGTCCAGGAGTTATGTGTCTCCCTTGAATTTCTAAACCTTCATAACTATTATTATGAACAACTTGTACAGGCAGAGTAGATCGAGAAATAGGACTTAAAGGTTTCTTTTTACGAGATAATGTTACTGACGATGATGTTAAAGACCTGAAATTATAAAAGTAGTATGAAAGATGTTCTTTATGAACAAAGGAACGTTGTCTACATACCTATTTCTGCTACTCGGAAATCGTGACATGTCTAGTGGAGCAAGCTTTATATTTTTTGGCCACACAGCAGGAGAAACAGGTGTATGCCATGCAGATTGGTAATTTGAAATTTTTGACGAAGCTGAATTTTTTCTCGAACTTTTAAAATAATTAACATTTTTACTTGAGCCTAATACAAAACAACATTCATACAAAATAGTAGAAATATTTTTAACATTCCATACGTAATACATAATATTAAAAAAAAGTGTGACATGCCTTGAAAGGTAGAAACTTCTAGAGACTGTGCTATGAATTTGACTGGAGTAGTTTTTATAGTAGAAAAGCTTTCTCTGGTTGACAAAGCATAAGGTACAGGACTAACTACAATCTTTTCATTAAAAACAGTTCCAAGTTTATTTCTACTAGTGTGTGGCCTACAAAGCTTATCTTCTATGATTGATTCATCCTTTTCATTTTTTATTCGGTCATTACTCATAGGATTATTGTATTTTCTATAAATAAATAAATAACTAATATTTTTTGTTTCGATAGTGTAAACATTTTATCGTTCTACAATACAGTCATACATACTTTTGCATTTCTTGTGTATATGCTTCAGCAATTTCTTTTCTTGTAGGTAAAACATAATCTTCTCCTCCTTTATTGCTAACATTTGAAAATCTACTTTCAAGAGAAATTGTTTCCTCAAACCAATTTACTTTTGTACTTTTCGCAGAACTTTTATTACTGTGAATAGGTGCTGCACGTATATGTAAAACATCATTGAAATCATCATGTAATGAATCAATTTCATCCTCTTTTTTTGGAAACAGCTGAGATATTACATATTCATAAAGTAAATCATATATTTCATCTTCTGATGTTTTTTGTAATTTTTGTTTCGATGAACTTTTTCTTTCCTATAAATAATATATTATGTATAATTTATTCTTAGATTGAATTTTTTTATTATAACTTCCTTTCTGAAGACAAAATGATTTGTAATACTTATTAGTGTTAGGTCCATTAGTTTATGTAAACAATATAAAAAATATTATGTAAATAATATAAAAAATATATATAATGTTATGTAAATAATATAAAAAATATTCTATACCTTTAATGTAGTACTATGTTCTGGAAATACCTCTTCAACATTAGTATCAGAATTATTCTTTATCTGATTATGATTTATATTTAGATTTTGATAATTAGTTTTAGATGAAAAGAATGTATTTTTTCCTACTATTCTTAGGTGTGGTATTTGTGTTCTCCATTGTATACACTCTTCTAAAACATCAGTTTGGGTTACTTGTTCACCATCTTCATACAATGTATTTTCAATAGCTTCCCACTGCTCCAAAACTTTCTTTGTTGCAATATTTTCAATCTCTGTGGTACAAAATACATCTGTTGCAGTACTGTTCCTATCCCAAGTTGATGCATTGTCATCGACGTCTCTCCAAGTTTTCTTCTTTTGTAAACTTGGTAGTTCAAAGTAATCGCTTGATTCATTTTGATTATCTTGAAAACTTTTCACTTTTGACGTTACTTCAGAAGTTCTTATATTTTGAGGTAATCTATAATAAAGTAAATTCAAGTTTCGTTACAATAAAATTTAAAATACATGCGTAAAATCTAAATTGTGGAACAAAAAAAATTTGTAAATTATATTAATACTTTTATATAAAATTTATAAAAGATATTGTTGCAAGACATACATATCACGTTTGAGTTTCCTTTTATGCATTTCATGCTTCTTGAAACGTGTCTTTGATCAATTGAAATCACTTTTAATCATTTATGCAACAATCTTTTCGTCATACTTATTATACGAAACCTACATAGATCACAGTAATTTTATTGATTATTTTCTTAAAAGAAAGCCTTTGGTCCGAACGTTTAATTTGAATCATTCTACCGCCATTGAGTTATAAATAATTTATTAATTTTTCCTCGAGTAATTCAAAAAACACGACTTTACCATCAGATAACACCTGATCGACTAAAATTTATGATTCGCCGCACAATTTGTCTTATTTAATTATATATATATATCTAGTTCTAAATCACATATTCACTATTGGTCAATGTGTGAAACGATAAATTTCTCCATAAATTTAATGTGAAGAGAGAATACCTCAGTATTGTATCGTGTATCGACATCGTGTTTAAAACGAAACAACTAATTACTGTAAAACGTGCAATAATATATGAAATCGAAGATAAAATCAAGTTATAGTAATTATTTTCTTTACGTTACAATCTTTATGCAAGAACATTTAAATATATTGGAGAATAGTTGGTGAAACTGCTTGACAAACGCGGGAAAAAGAAAACTGTAGTTTGGTTTACAAGTTCATAATAGAAGTTAGAAATAGGTTTCTAGACTTATCTTAGAAATTTAAAATTTAATTTATGTTTTTTGAGATAAAATAATTTTCATAAATTTCATATATCATATTCTTAAATAATGTTAAATATAAAAATTAAACCGTAATATATTTTTATATACATAAAAATATTCACATTTTACATAATCATCAATACAATAATAATAAAGTTATATATAAGAAAATAATTACTATAACTTAACTTATTATTAGTACATATCAAATTAAATCATTAAGTATACTTAAATATTTTAACAATTCATTATACAAAAATATTACAAACAACTAATACATATTTAAATAAAATAGGAAATGCGCACTATCATCTAGAATTTTGTGGAAGCATTCAGTGACGTATGAACTTTCGTATATTTTTCACTTCTTGATCGTAAAGGAGATCGAAACTCCAATGATACTCGTTTGGAGCTATTATTAAGTATAATTGGAGATAAATTAGATGGTTCGCCATAAGATTGTAATTTCTCAAGCCGCTTTTGTATAGCAATAGATTTTGCTGGTTGGTTACTCATTAAACTTCTTCTTGAAGATTCTTGAGGTGCATGATCATTAAATTGCATGTCAGAATTAATATTTTCATCTGATCCAATTTTATCGACACTTCTTGTTATTGATTTTTTTTGTAATTTTTCTGAAATTTCTACTGCACATGTATCTATATATGTACTATTCTCCTGTAAAGATATAATTTAAAAACGTAGTTTAGTAGGTCATAAAATTATTATTAATTTATTGCAAACCACATTTACCATTATTAAACATTTCAAGTCCTCAAAAGGTTGCTGAAGATGACTATCTCGGGGATTGCGCGTAAAACTGCTTCGTTCTGTGCAATATGCCATTGGTACATTCCATGATGTAGCTCGTCGCCATTCTAAATTACTACAAGCAACAAAAGATCCTACAGTCAAAATTTCTGCATATCCATGAAAAGATATTCCATGCCAAAATAGTATTGATAGATACGAAGACTGAGAATTTGTGTGTGGATATGCCAGATATACAGCTTGAAAATTTTTCATACCCTTTAAAATAAAACCGATATCACTAATATAATTTTCATTCTTACTAATATATTATATTTACAACAATAACTTACATAAGGTTCGTTTCCAATAGAAATAACAATTCCTACTGTATCGAATTCTCCGTAGGCTGGAGAGAAAATTGGCTTACTTATTTCATACAATGCTGTATACGTTCTTCGAGGGAAATTATTATTAGATACATTTACTTGTCTAAATAATGCACTTCGACTTGCCGTCAGTAGTAATTCATTACCTCTACTACAATAGATATTACTTGTCACATTTGATTCGTAATGAAAAATAATGGGGAAATGTAAAAAAGAAGTTAGTACCTTTTTGCTGAAGGCATAACATGACAGACTGATATGCAATTTCTTTCTTTCAAAATACCTAAAATTTCTTCGCTGGGAGACCAAATCGAAAGAATAGCATTTGTTTCTTCTTCAATTACGCGAATTTTTAAAAGCGGTGTAACTTGTCGTGGCGGAGGTAAGCTTTTTTGTAATCGAGATTCTAATTTTTGCCTAAATTGTTCTTCTTTCATACGACAATCACTCATTAATTGTTTAAGTTCTTGTTCTGAAAGAAATTCCTACGACAAATAAATATATAATCTATACACCACTTATGACACAGAAAATAATTTTTATTGTATCAATTATTACCTCTTTAGATAATTTTTCGCAATTGTCATTCCATTCAATCGCTGCTAAATCGATACTATCTGTATTTACATTATCTTTAATCTTTCCAGTATGAAAATATTTCTCTGCTTTCGCATAAAATGCTTCTATCATTGATCGACATTCTTTTTCATAAATAATGTTAGCTTTTTCTTCGCATCTGGTGTTTCGGAAAACTAAAATCATGAAACAAAATAATTTAAAATAATTGAAAAGATTTGACAATATTAAAAGTATGTAAATCTTACTAGATTCTCCTGATGAAGTTTTCTCATGATACAACATTGGATATACCCTTGCAATTGTAACTTTAATCTTCCCAATTAAACCACCATTTGGATAAATGGTGTTTAATTTAATGCATATTGGTCCTGATGGTACTATATACCCCAACTTTGTATCCCATTTTGCTCTTCTTGTTGAATTGGTATGAAGTTTTAAACATACATTCTTTGGAACCTAAGAGATAATAATAATTTGGAACCTAAGAGATAAAATATACTAAATTTTCATAAAAATTTTATATAAATATCTAAAATTAAATTTACTTCTAAAGGTGGGCATCCTTGATCACAATTTAATAATTCAGATCCATACGTTAATAATTTTGTTCCCTCTTTTACTTTACCAGAAATTATGTGTTTCATCATTGCCTCATCGATTAAAGCTTGAATACTGTACCATCCATCTGTTAATATCAATTTTTTGAATGGTAGTTTTAATAGACTTTTATTTTCAATAATAGAGTCATCACACTATATATACAAAAAAAGAAAAATGTAAATTCCTGATAAAATAAAAATATATCTACATTAGAAAAGAAAAAGATTACTTCAGTAATGGATGACACACATAAAACCATTCTTTTGATTGCAACATCATCTTTTTCCAATATTTTTCTTAAAGCTGATCTTTGAGATCTATCAATTTCTCTATCATAACGGTATTTTAATTCCAACATTACTCTGGCAGGAGTTAACACTCTAAGAAGCAATCCCTTTGTATAAGTATTATAAAATTTGTACTCTTTGTTATTATTTTCAAACTACAAAAACAATTAAAAGTTCTACCTTGGTAAAATAATAGAACCTAATTTCACTCTATCCATTGATGCTAATTTCCATACAATCCATCTGTAATGATTTTCTATCCATCCAGTAGGAATTAGATTAGGATCTACACCTGGACTTGCTAAAAAAGATCTTTTAATTTCTTTAATTCCTACATAACCATTCTCATCCAAAATTAAGCAAGCTCCGTCTTCCAATTTTATACCATCAATATTACTTTCCATAATACTTTGCCTAAACAATATTAAATTTGTAATCCAATATCTAAGGCACAAAAAGTTATTGTTGACCAAAATATGTCTCACCCATAAAAATCTGTACAATGAAACTTATACAATGCTGCATTTTCAGCTGTTATATTCAAAATTTCACGTGATATTTTTTTGTTAGTAAGCTAACAAAAAAAAAATCCAAGATTAAAATTCATTTGATTAATCAAAAATTATATCTATTTCTTTAACCATTACCTCTTCATATGTACATGGAATAGGTTTTTCTCCTTTACTAATTTCTTTCCATGATATACGATTTTTCATATTACTTTTTCTATGAAAATATAATTTACTTATTGTTGGTTTCGGTTTATTCCTTTGTTTTAAACTAATTTGTTTATCCTGCATTAGATATTATAAATTGAGATGCTGTTTTTCTTTACATTAATAACAACATTGAAACTTACTTGTTCTATAGCAGCTTCTAAACGTTTCTGTGATATAGTTATAGATTGATTAATAAAGTCTATCATTAACTGAGTGTCACCAAAATCATTGGCAACAACAGATTCACACTGGTTTTCTTCGTTTGTCGAATCTTGTTTTTCTGTTGGGTTTATACATTGATTTAAACTTGCACAATTGTTATTTAATTTCTCCGAATTATCCTTATTAAGCTTGTCTAGTTTATATTTATTTGTACTTTTTCTTCTGTCTATACTCTTTCGTTTCTTAAGAATAAATTGTCCCCCTATTACAGGACTAGATGGAATATCCTCAACTTCATCATCCGCTTTTTTCTCCTTAGGAGACATCAACTGCTCTGTGAAATCTAAATCCTTTTCATCAGTTAGAAGTGCAACTGCACTAGCCACTTCATGCGAAATTAAGGAGTTATCTATTTGCCTGTTCGACTCTGTTCTAATATCATCATTTAATTTAAATTCAATATCATGACTTAAAGTCTCTTGTGCAAGTATCAAAGATTTGCTTTGATTTTGTTTCTTCTCGATATTCCTCGAGTTCCTGTAAGCAGTTTTTGGAATCTGAGATTCACGACTGAATCGTAGCTTCTTAAACTCGTTAGATTTTGTTGACTTAATCAAAGACGCGTTATCATCCACGTCTTTAATTTTTCGTTTCTGTAATGCTTTGGGCAACGCAAAAGCAGTTTCAAAATCTTTCGATATCTCTTCCTGAAATAATGCCTTTGCTTTTGACAGTGCTTCATTGGTCACGTTAATGTGTTGACCACTTGCAGTTTGAAACCCAGCGGTTGACGCCTGTATATTAAGCACATTAATTTCATTTTCAGCTTCGAATGCTTCTTCATAGTTGTCGATTTCGTTCACTTCGTCAAAAAGTTTTTTTGCTTTCGACAAAGCTTTCTCGGACACACTGATCGAATTACCACCAGCTGTAGTAAAACCAAACGAGGATCCATCGTTTTTATTATTCATATTTATATCTATTAAGCTCGCGGAATCGATACAAAAATATACTCATTGAATAGATCGATATTTGGATGTCAAAACTAAAAATCGTTCGTCCTTACATTTTGATACTTAAATATTTTTCATAATTACGACATGTATCGAGTACTAAAACGAATTTGACAATAAATAGAGTGCCATCTGTATCTGACACAGGTTTCTTTTTCATGGGAAATAAATCCATCTACTATGTATTTTAAACTCAGATTAATATTATTTTGCAATCAATTTTCACAAGCTATTTATTAGACGGTAAAATAAAATAATTAATTTGAGAAAAGACAACTTGTTATTTACTCGGCATTTATTACTCATTAATAATGTGTAACAAATAAAATTAAATAAAAATAAAAATGTGAAATTCTTCGACTTCGTAATTATAAGTAATATAGTAGTTGTACTGTTATTAAATTTCTTTTCTTTCTTTAAGAGATAATTGTATTTATTTTCTTGAAAATATAATTTACATAGTATTCCCCTATATTTAAAAATTCTGGGACAACGTCTGTCATTGTGGGTATTGCCAATGATCTGCAGTACCGGCAAAACATTCATCTAACCTCGTTACGTTTTTTGCTTTGCTGCATGTGGCTACGCGGGAAACTGAAATTAATAATTGTATCGTGTTTGAATCAATTAACATGAGATTCAAAACAGACAGTGGAATTACTTGGTCCAGCCTGGAACTTGCGGGCCTCGTAGAAGACGAGGAATCCCGTGTTTATTTTGAAAAATTTAAAAAACACCTTGGCTTACATCCGTTCCACTTAACGAACTTGAACGCCGCGTTGAATGAAATTTTAAGCTCAAATCTAAATTCTTATGATCCTGAGTATGTGTGCACAATCTCTCATTAACTTTAGCAAGATACATGTTCTCCAAATTTTTTTATTCTACGTTCAGTATTTCTGAAAGAAATAGTTTTTTATAGGTTATGTTTATAAGCCTGATGCTAGACATATTTTTTTCACTGCGTTTACAAAGTTACGTTTATTGCAGCTTGAAAGGATTTTTATTGGCTTATAGAAATCCGAAATTACTAACTTCGTTGGGAGAAATATTTTACGATACATGCTTCATTCACATTGATGTTGAAACAGACTTTTATGTATTCAGACCAGAAGTTGGATGTAAATTGAAAGGTAAAGCATTGTAACATGGTTTCTCAATTCTGTGCTTGTTAAGAACCTAAGATTTGCAGGAATAGTCAATAAAAAGGGATTAGATCACATAGGGATTCTTGTACATAAGACATTTAATGTATCGATTCCTAAACCGGATGATGAAGAAGATTGGCCAGGTAATAATGTTGAAATTGGCCAAGAAGTAAGATTTGCAATAACACTTCTTGATTTTAATAGCAAGTTACCATTTATTCGCGGTGTCTTGAATTCAAAGTAAGCATATCTAAATTTTATTTTCTTTTTTTTTTTTATTTTTCTTATATTTTTTTTTGTATTTTTACATGTATTTTTATCTTTGTATTTTTTACATGTATTTTTGCCTTTGTTTCAGTGATTATTTACATGGCTGTAAATTAATGCTAAAAAGCATTAATAATAAAAGATTATCTTCTAAGAATAATATTTACAGTAATAATATTAATGATGTATCAAAGAAAAATACTAAGCATACTGGAAAGCATACATTTTTCACAACTGATTCTGAAAGTACTGATGAAGATATACCAAAAATAAAAGAAGAGATTGAACCCAAAGTATTAGAGAAAAAGAAAAAAGGCAAGAAACGTGATAAAGAGTTCAATGAAATAAGTGAATCTAAAACTGAATTAGTTAAGGTAGAATCTGAATATGATTGTTATACGAATAATATTTCCTTAAATGGTGAATTAATGAACAATGAAGAACCAGAATCGAGTGAGTCGAAAAGTAAAATTGAAAAGAAATTCAAAATTAAAAGTTCTCCAAGTTTGGTAAATGAATACGATGAAACTGTCGTGGATAATTCACCTAGAAATTACCTGAAACCTGACAACGATAGTGAAATTAAAGTTGAATATAACAAAAGTGATAATGAAAGTATACTTGAGGATAAGTCCATGATAAAGAAAAAGTCTATGAAAAGAAAGAGTGACGGTATTTCAAAAAGAGGCTCGAAGAAAATTAAAGTGGAACAATTTGATGATACATATGAATACACATATGATGATGCGCAAGAATCACCAACGAAACAATATAAGAAATATAAAGAATCTGTAAAGTTAGAAACCTCTGAAAGTGAAGAGATTACAACAAAGAAGCATTCAAAAAAATCTAATATTTCAGATTCTCAAATTGTGTTCGAAAATGTAAAAATTAAAAAAGAACGATTAACTAGTGGATCTGAAAACAGCCAAGACGAGAATTATGTAACAATAAGTAAAACATTAAAAAAAGATCCCGACGCATCTAGTTCTCACGATACACCAAGTGAAAATAACACTACCAAAAAGAAACGAAAGAAACATTCGAAGAATGCTATTATAGACACGAGTACGATTAAAATAGAATTTGATGAACATAAATTTAAAAACTTCGCAATTAATGAAGAAAACTTTCGTAGCAATGAAGATATAACTGAAGACATTTATTCAAAACAATATGTAAAAAATGTAAGTAGTTCACCTAGGGAAAAACATAATATTCGTTTGAATGATAATACTTATGATGATGAAATAAATGCAAATACCACAAAACGTTCGAAAAAGAAAGTAATAAATGAAGATATAATAGGTAGTGGAGAGATAAAATTGGAGAAATTCTCAGCGACTGATAATTCAGATATTGATAATAGCGATTTTCGAAGTACTGAAAAAAGAAAAAAGCATAAAAAAAAATTATCCACAGAACTAAATAAATTTAGGGGCACAGATCATGAATCTGAATTTGATTTCAATGATGTTGAAGTTAAAACCGAGAGGTTTTCAGATTGGGACATTTAAAAAAAAAAATATATATATATATTACAAATCAAATTGTCACATTATTTTCATTCTATCCTGTATTGGAAGAAGACATACTTAGAGTCATGTAATATAAACATTTATAATTACATTCATATTTACAAATTAATTTTGTGTATATATATTAGTATATATTAATTTTATTCTGCTATACTAGCAATGACATTGCAAGTTTTATATCACCATTCTTATATACAGACATTTCACTACTATAATATAATGTATGCAATAAGATTTTATGACAAAATAAACATAATTATTTTGTTATATGGCATATTTTGGAAAATTAAATATAATTTGTAAATTTTATATATTTGAGATGTATAATTTTATGTATGTACTTTTTCTACTGTAATAATATGAAGTCTAAGAAACTTCAAATAAATACATAAATTTCTTAAAATTTCCAAGAATATTTCAATCAATATCTCTATAAAACATACTTTATAGGGTTGAAAAGCATGTACAAATAGTAAATATTGTAATAGTGAATATTAAGAAATATAAAAACATGTTTATTAACATATACAGATTTATCATTTTATATCACAATTATTGTATATTTTGTGAATTTTAATTTTTGTTGTATAGTCACAATTATTGTTTGTATTTGAAAAATATCGCGATGTTATTTTTCATAAAATAGATAACATATACACAATAAATTTATTATAAAATAAAAAATTTTTCGATAAATAAATAACTAATAGAATTATTAGTGGTTTCATACTTTTAGACTTTCCATGAAAGCGAAATATTTTTTTTTTTAAATGTTTAGAATTAACATAAATTGAACATTTATACAATGTTCACAATTTCTTAAACTATATTAAAAATGTTATTAATAGGCCATAATTGTTAGGCATTCTTTTCATTTTCTCACTTATGTACGAGGAAGTTTTGTAAAAGCAATAATCTGTTTATTTTGAAAGATTTACAATGAAAAATTTTATATAAAAACAATTACAACTTTCAAGCATTTTGGTCTGATCAAATATTTTGTCCCTACATATTAACATTTATTTTTAAAGTATCATTCATACTATATTGTGTGATAATATATATTTATTTACATATACACGCTTTATGTACATTATTTTTATATAACATATGTAAATTATTATTTTTATTCGATCAATTTACTTAGTCTCGCGTTGCGAAGAAATAATTTCAACAGCTTAATCTTTCACGCGAGGATATTTTATTTCTTTTTCCCTCTTTTTTACACAAAAAATATTAGAGACGACACGAAAAATGTTAAAAAATGCGAAAAAAAATTACGTCGAAATGCTTTGTAGGAAATGCAAATCCGACATAAGCTCTGAGATGTGATGGAAAAAGAAGCTCGTAGAGATGAGATCTATTCAAAGAAAGCAAAATTTTATTCACCTTTCACTATGGGAATATATAGTACTGAATAAGGGAAGATCGAAATACATTCAAGACTATTACAAAATATCGTATTCACATATATTTCTCAATTGTATTTCGATATTTATCAAGAATCTATCATTGACATGCAAGGATAAAAAAAAAATAATTATCTTCCGAAGTAGAAAGCTTTCACTAAATTTGAATTGAACGAAAGAATTTTGAGTAATTCCAACCAGAAAGTATTTCAGTATTGTCATAAGACGCTACGTGTTGTAGTATCTTATATACAAAATAATTTCACGTGTACGTATATCCAAAATAATTCATCACAGCGTACACTGATTAGGTTCTAATCGCTGTATACTCGATTGATATCATTGTTGCATAGTCTCTAGAAACAACATATGGCATGTGAAGAAATGGAGCGTTCTGTGTTCATTGTTCACGTTGGCAACGAACACTTGTTTGTGGCTGATGGAACGTTCATTAGCATCCTGCGGTTCCTTACAATTTAATTAGGTACGCTTTGCGTCATATATCACGCATTCTATGAGAATACATATTTACACATAATGTTAGTTTGTCGCTAAAACAGCGAACAGGAACATACAATTAGACCTTAACGCTCGTCAGCGTTCCGTTCCTTGCCGTTCGCCAGAAATAAAACATTTTTCATCCGACGCGTTCGATAAATTGGTTCCAGTGGCACGATGAGACATTTATATCGATTACCGTGAAAAAGATTTCAGATACATTTATATACAATGTTAACTTAGCTCCTCGCTTCACGAAACGGACAATGTGCAATGAATATATTATATACATATAAATATCGGTGTATTTAATTGTTTCTCCAGTCATCGGTGTAATTTATGCCTGTTCTCTAAATGTCCTCGAAACTATGTGAAAAACGTGATTTTTTAATAGTGATAAGACACGCCATTTGAGAGCAGAATCATATTTTTAAGCTATTAAAATTCAAGTCAAAGTCGTAGATTGGTCCTTTATGTATTATGAGATTGTACAATAAATATTTCCTTTTTACCTACCATAGTTTCGATGAGATTTAGAAGATAAATGATCACCGCATGATCCTGCGTGTTATTCTCGTCGAAGGTGAAAAATAGATGGAAGTAGATATAGATTACAATGAAATACAAATTGAGGTAGGAGACCTGATATATATAATCGCGCGAAAAATTCGGAAAATTGACAACTTCTAAACAACCAGTTCAATTAACGACAAGTCGAACTAACATATTAAGATAAAAACAACTTTCCTACGATATTTAAATTATATCCGAAAACGTACAAAAACGTAAAACAGCGAGAGAGTTTCAATTTACAAATTACGGGAAAGCCACTCGACGATCTGTCTCTGTGGGCGTGTGACATTAAAAAAATATCGATTTGATTCTCAGATGGCTACAACTCTACTTACGAATTATTATCCTGAATTATTATCCTCACGTTCACGATGCCTTACGAATTCTGAATCAGTCTCTGGTTACTCGTGTCTCAACTTAGTAGTAGTATCATTAAGCGTTCTGTACGTTTGATATTCCATACTTTCTTTTTTCTTTTTCTTTTCTTTTTTTCTTTTTTTTTTTTTTGTTGTTTCTTTTTTTTGATCACAGAAATGATATGTCTATGAAATTAAAAAACGTTCAAACGATTTGACACGTTTTCTAAACAGCACCGTCTCAGCACCAAGAGTAATCTGTTTTGAAACATGCAATGAAGAAGGATTGGTGACGTTCGTGCACTAATTTCCCGGACAGTTGAAACGCAGTTCACACGTAGCTGGTGGAAGTTTGATCAAGTACTTAAGCACGATGAACATAAAAACAATGGAAACGGAAACGAAAGAAACGTCAACCTTTGACCCTCACACGGTGTTGCTATATGTACACGCACTTCCATAGTTTTCGTAATACAGTTGCCGTTAAAGGTGTTTCGGGACACTTGGGAGTACGAAACAGTTTCACACGAGCAGAGAATTAAGGTGTATGTACTATGGGAGCGGCCAGGGCAAACCGGAGAAGTCCACGGGGCCACCTAAACCGGCGTCTGCCTCTAGCAGGCTCATTATCACGGCCATCGCTGCCTCGTCGTTGCCATCCGATGGCACTGGATTCGGCGATTCGTTGATCGTCGTTCCACCGATCATGTCCATCATGTCCTCGTCTGGTGACGCTCCTGGAACGAAATGGACGTTACACGCAACGTCTCGTCGACGAGAGTCCGCGCGGTGTTGCTGTGAAACGTTGCTACTGAAACTATAACGCTATGCCAAATGGAAAGAAAAAAACTACAATGCGGGCTTGATTGCTGGATGTTCGAACCTTTGGAAGGTCATTGTTCCAACGTTTCGTCATCTGTTGCTTTTTTCTTTTTTTTTTTTTTGAAATTGAACTAAAGTAATAAGATTGACTTAGTTTGAACGAAATCAAAGATCAAAGAAAGATCAATCAAGTTTAATTGAACATTAAAGTCAACGTGGAGGCTCTTGAGATATATTAGAACGAACTTCCTTCGCCCAACTTCGCTCAGAGAAAACCACTGTCTGAGAGTGATCGATCAAAATTGATGATCTTCCTTTCTCTGAGCGACCTAATCTTTTTCTTTTTTTTTTTTTTTT